CCTGCACTTTGGCCACAACAACCCCCTGCAGCCACAACAACCCCTTGGGCAGAGAGTGGCTGGAGAGCAGCCAGGCAGAAAGGAATCTGTGGGTGCTGATCGACAGGAGGCTGAAGATGAGCCAGCAGTGTGCCCAGGTGGCCAAGAAGGCCAATGGCATCCTGGCCTGGATCAGGAACAGTGTGGCCAACAGGAGCAGGGAAGTGATCCTTCCCCTGTACTCAGGGCTGGTGAGGCCACCCCTGGAGTGCTGTATCCAGTTCTGGGCCCCTCAGTTCAGGAAAGACATTGAGGTGCTGGAGCAGGTCCAGAGAAGAGCAATGAGGCTGGTGAAGGGACTTGAGCACAAGTTCTGTGAGGAGAGGCTGAGGGAACTAGGGTTGTTTAGTGTGGAGAAGAAGAGGCTCAGGGGTGACCTCCTCACTCTCTACAACTGCCTGAGAGGAAGTTGTGACCAGGTGGGTGTCGATCTGTTCTCCCAGGAAATCAGCAGTAGGACTAGAGGGCACGGGCTTAAGCCGTGCCAGGGGAGGTTTAGGTTGGATATTAGAAAGAAGATCTTTCCAGAGAGAGTGATCAGACATTGGAATGGCCTGGCCAGAGAGGTGGTGGATTCAGTGTCCCTGGAGGTTTTTAAGATGAGGCTGGATGTGGCAGTGAGTGCCATGATCTTGTAATGACAGTGGGGTTGGATCGAGGGTTGGACCTGATGATCTCAGAGGTCTCTTCCAACCCAGATAATTCTCTGATTGTGTGGTGGAGTTGACCACGGTGAGGGCAGTGAGGAGGACACATGGAAATGTCCGTGGCTTGGAAGTGATGGGAGCAGAGTTGGGCTCGTTCGAGGACCTTGTTGTTAGAATGCCATGGGATAGAGCCCTGGAGGGCAGAGCAGGCCATGAACCCTGGCTGAATCTTTGGCGTGACGTATCCCGGTGCTGAGGAAACGGCCCGGAGCTGTGGCTGGATGGCAGAGAAGCTGCTGAGCCAAGTGGGAGCCGAAAGACAAAGCTCTCAGGAAGCGTCAAAGGAGGAAGGGGGCCTGTGAGGACTAGAGGGGAATTGTGGTAGAAGGTGGGGACAAGGGCAGGGAAGGCAAAGCCCATTTTGAATGGAGCCTGTGCAGAGATATCAGGAAAGGCTTGGATGGATCTGTTGCAAGGAAAGGAAGGATGTGGGCTAATATGAGCCCTCTTCAGAAGGAAACGGGAGACCTGACTCTGCTAATGAAAGAGAAGGCAGAGGTTCTGAATGAGTTTTCTGCCTCAGTCTTTGAGAGCAAGTGCTGCAGGCCCAGTGTTAGAGTGGAGACGAAATGCAGACAGAGGGAGAATGGAGATGCCAAGCTGGCTTCAGGAGAGGATGAGGTTTGAGAGTGTGTCAGGCAGCAAGTGTGCTGAAGTGGATGGGAGCTGATGAGATGGATGTCCAGGTGCAAGGGAGCTGTTGGGGAAGTTGCTAAGCCCCTGTCCCTCATTTTTGAGAAGGGATGGCCCTGAGGAGAATTGGCCAATGAGTGGCCAAAGGGAAATACAAGCTGTGTTTTTAAGAGGGGGAGAGCAGAAGTAGAGGGGAACTAGAGAGCAGTGTCACATGTGTGCCAGGCAAAATGATGGAGGTGATGCTCCTGGGAAGTGCAGTAAGGCCCATGGCAAAGAAGGAGGCGATTGGAAGAGCCCGGCTGGCTTTGTAAAGGGGAAATCCTGAGAAATTGTTGGAGGTTCTGTGAGGGGGCTGCAGCATTGTTGGCTGGGGGCCGAGCAGTGAGATGGTTTGCGTGGACATAGGGGAATCATTTGAGAGTGTCCCTGAGGGGGCATTGTCATCTGTTAATTTGGAGATCCATGGATTGGGTGGATGGAGCAGTGTGTGGGTGAAGGAGCGACCAGCTGGGCCAGGCCAAGAATTGTGGGCGTGGAGAGCAGTGAGGAGCGGTGTGCGGCGTGCAGTTGGCTGAGCTCTAGAGGAGGCTTGGTTGTGCTGCTGTGGAGTGTCCCTGTGTGGAGGAGATATTTGGGATGTGTGTGTCCACAATGCTGAGCAGGGTGCTCTGGAGGAGGGTGGCTGGAGCAGCTGAGGTCCAGCACTGCTTGGCAGCCTTCCCTCATTTGTGATTTTGTGCTTCTGTGATTGTGTGGTTTGGGCAAGCCCCTGGCCTTGTTTTTGGAAAG